TTTACCTTGGTTTGGGAATCTATTTCACCATCTATTTTGAATGATAGCTTTGTTGGATAGAGTAGTCTTGAGTTCATATTCTTGTTTTTCATTACTTTGACTACTTCATACCATTCTCTTCTGGCTCTAGTGTTTCTGTTGAGAAATCAGCTGGTAGCCAGCCTTATGGGGCTTCCTTTGTAGGTAAACTGCTCATCTCTTGCTGCTTTTAAGATTTTCTCTTTGGCCCTGGCCGGTTTGGCTCAGCGGTTGGAGCGTCGGCCTGTGGTCCAGAGAGACCCGGGTTCGGTTCCCGCTAAGGGCACGTACCTCGGTTGCAGATTGTCCCCGGCCCTGGTTGGTCGTGAGGGTGGCAGCCACTCGATGTGTCCCTTCACATCGATGTTTCTCTCTCTCTCTCTCCCTCCCGCTCTATCTGAACAAAAAATGGAAAAATGTCCTCGGGTGAGGATGAAAAAAAAAAAAAGATTTTCTCTTTGTGTTTAATTTTTGATATTTTAATTATTATGTGTCTTGGTGTGAGCCTCTTTGGGCTCTTCTTACTTGGACTCTCTGTGCTTCTTGTATTTGTATGCCTTTCTCCTTTACCGAGTTAGGGAAGTTTTCTGTCACTATTTCTTTAAATATATTCTCTAACCCTTGTTTATTTTCTTCTTCTTCTGGAACTCTTATGATGCAGATGTTGATGTTTCATGTAGTCCCACAGTTCTCTTAAGCTGTTTTTCTGGTTTTTAATTGTTTTTTCTTTTTCTTTTTTCTCTGATTGGGTGATTTTTTTCTACCTTTTCTTCTAATTCACTGACCCAGTCCTAGACTTCCTCTACTCTGCTGATTATTCCTTGCAATATGTTCTTTATTTCTGCTATGTCATTCTTCATTTCTGCTTTGTGGTTTTTCATTTCCAATTGGTTGATTTTCAATGTTTCTATATCTTTACTCATGCGCTTGAGCTCTTTACTCAGGCTGCTGAGCTTCCTGATTATCATTACTCTGAACTCCATCTCTGATAACTTGCTTAACTGCATTTTATTTATCTCATCTTCTGTAAAATTTTCTTATTCTTTTATTTGGGATTTGTTTCTTTGTTTTACCATTTTGGCTGTCTCAGTGGGTTTTGTAGCCTGCCACATTTTCCTTGTGGGTGTCGGTGTTCTGCTGATTGTGGCTCCCTCTACTGGGTTTGGATGAGTGTGGGAGGGCCCACATTAAACACCACTGTCAAGTCTTACTTTCCTGGGTAGATTTTGAGGCCAATCAAAGGTTTAGTTTTTCTCTAGCCTTTGTCTGCTAATTATTAGTTTTAGTTACTTGCTGAGCATTGAGTTGTTGCCCTCACCTGAATGAAAAAAAATACTCTCAGTTGTTCAGAATAAGAGAATTTTCAGCAGGTGGGCAGATGCTTGCTGGCTGTTAATAAGCCTCAATTTGCATTTCTCTGGCCTGGCCAGGTGGTGTTAAGTTCCTGAGGGAGGGGCTGTTGTGTCTCCCCAGGGCTCTGGGAAGGGGCTCTTTGAGTAACATGGCTACTGTCCTATGAGGGAGTGATTCAGCACAAATCTCCCATTGCCCTCCTAGCTTTCCAAACTCCCCAATCTCTCCACACAGTTCCAATCCTGTCTGCCCTCTCTCTGCTGGAGCCCAAGGTGAGTGACTGTAGCTAATTTAGTGCTCTGTCCTGGCCCTCTACACTGTGGAGCTGGCTTGGGGTTTTAACTCCAAGGTAACTGCTCACAGCTACAACAGCTGCTATCTGTAGGCTCCCAGCCATCCTCTCGCACCTCCACAGTTCCTACCAGGCTCAATTTGGTGTCCTCTTTTCATCACTGGTTACCTAGGTTCTCTCCAGCTGCTTTTCTGTTGGTTTTTCCCAATTATTTGTTTTTATTTTAGTTGTAATTCCAGTTTGGTCCTGGGAGATGGTCTGTGTAGCTTCCATTCACTTTGCTACCATTTTAGAATCTTGATTGAGATCTCTTTAACTGAAGAAAGCTATGAAGGATGTTCTCTCCACTGAAAAGAAATAGGTTAGACAATAGTTTGAAGGCAAGGGTATGTGGTCCATATGATCTTACCTATTTGGAAGTAGGAAGCTCATTAAATGGCCATTTTAGAGGCTAATTTAGAGTGAGATATGGATGTTTATGCTATGCTGGAAAACCCCAGGTTTCAGTTCTAAGTTATTTATTTATAAGTGTGTCTCTTTGTTTAGAGTATGAATACTTTCTAGGCAAAGACCAAATATTATCTTCCTTGTTTTCCTAAGTGTGCCAAGCACTTTCCAGGAGCTACTTGTATTAATATCATTGTCTGTGTTCCAAAAGAACAACTCTTTCTTGGCAACACTGTACAGCTAATAACATATGTCCATATTTTCCATTCTCTTTTAAAGCTGCAGTCATCAATAGGTGATGATGAAAAGCACAGTCTCTGTCCCTACATTTTCATTTCTGAGTTGAATGAAAATATTTTGTGATACCTATGTCATGGGCTTTGATGAACCTTGGAGCTTCTCCGTCATACTGGGGATGTAGTTTCCTGAAAGAGAGTATGTCTTTACTACATGCCTTGTCATTTTATACATAAATATCTAATTCCAAATAAATAGCTGATAGCTGACATTGCTGCAAATATTTAAGAGTCATTGAAATGACAGGTGGGATAGAGGTGGGATATCACCCAGCACGAGAGTACAGATGAAGTACAGCAGGCAGGTAGGACTGACCCTGGGATGGTCCACATTTAGATGCCAAGTAGTAGGTGAAATTGACGAGGCAGAGTGGGAAAGAGGAGGGAGGAAAACACACAGAGTTGTGTCACACAGACAAAGGAAAGTGAGGGTTTGAATAAAAAACTGGTTAAATGCTACTGAGAGGCTGAATCAGAGGAAGATGGAGAAGTGGCCATTGGATTTGACAATACAAAGGTGACCTTAGCAGGAAGGGTATAGAACATAAGCCCACCTGAAACGTGTTGTAACTGAGGATAGGCAGTAGTGAGGACAGTGAACTATTGATCACATTTTCAAGTAGGTTTTACGCAAAGGGGTGAAGATATGTGACAGTATCTGAAGAGAAACGTAGTATCAGGACAGATACTTTTACTTATATATTTAAAAACATTTTTTTCAAATACAGTTTACATTCAATGTTATTTTGAATTGGTTGCAGATATACAGCATAGGGTTAGACAGTCATATACTTTACAAAGTGATTTCCCTGATATTTCAAGTACCCACCTGGCACCATACATAGTTATTACAGTATTATTGACCATATTCCCTATGTTGTACTTGACATCCACATGACTATTTTGTGACTCCCAATCTGTGCTTCTCAATCCCTTCATATCTATATATCTATATCTATCTATCTATCTATCTATCTATCTATCTATCTATCTATACACACACACACACACTTAAATTTCTGTTTACATTTTAAGATACAAACTATTATTAGAGCATGGTCTTGTTTCCTAAGGAAATGACCCAGGAAAAAGGAGAGGGTAGATGTGACAGCTATCAGTTTATTGCCTGTCAGCTCCAAATTCACCCTTCAATATATCCTCTGCAATAATGAGCAGAATTCTTCTTTTTTTTGACCACCTGTTTTTCATGTGTAAAATAGTACTAATCACCCCTACAGAACACATTGTTTTAAAGATTACATGAGATACTGTATGTGAAAAAGAATTCTGTAAACTATAACACATGCAAACATTAGCTAGGAATAATATCATCAACTAATAAGAAACATGTACCATCAGATAAATAAATACAACATTGCTGTGGACATTAAAGAGTCAGTATGAGCTAATATGAAAACAGCCCAAATTCACAAACAGAATAAAATATTTTAATGAATCATGCTTGACATACAGTTCAAAAGGGATAAGGCATGAACAGAATTCTTTTCAGCCTCTCTTCTGTGCAGTGAGCAGTTGTTAAGCTTTCTCAGTAGGGGGCGTTGGAGCGACACTGCAGGAGGAAGGAGCCATCCAATGATTTCTGGGGGCTAAGCAGTGGGTCAGTGTTGTGGGTATGGGGACAGCTAGCGGATCTCTTCCCCAGTCTCGTGCCCAGAACCAGGCAATCCCTTGGAGCTCTTGCACCTTGTCCTGGCCCAGCGATAACATTCCCTGGTCCTCACTAGGCAGAATACAACACCCCAGGGCCTCCTGCCTGTGACGCCTCCTGCTTGCATGAGCACTGATTCCCTACGCGGGTCCCCGACCAGCTTCCCTGGGTCCCACGCCCCCGCCCTCTCTGCATGCCTGTGCCCCTGCTGGCCCTCCAGAGGGTTGCTCTCTGCTTGCCCAGCAACAGCAGACCAGCCATGTCCTGGGCAAACCTGCCGCCTTCTCTGTTATCCAGTGGATTGAACTACACCACCTCCAACAAGGTCTGACCCCCAGCCTTGGGGAAGGCCCCTTCCAAATTGTTCCTCCCTTGACACCCTCCCTTCACCCTAAGGGTACCAGTAGACTTTCCTTATATCATACAGTCACTGTTGGGCAGAGTTTAAGAATTCTTTACATCAGACTTCCCGTTTAGTCCACTGTGGCTTCTACCTCCAAACTGGATCCGGACTAACCCATGACGAGAGATTATAACTTCAGGAACTCAGCCCTAACTGGTACCGAAGACTAGACCACTTCCGAAACATCCTCCTTGGGAAGATCCTCATATATTAATTTTAAAAATTCCTTGTCTTCTCAGCAGTTTGAATCATGGCTGTCTGACTAGTTCTCCCCCTGCCTTGCTTACCTGAGCTCCAACAGAACTGGAAACAGAGGTCGGTCAGGCTGGGAGGGACTCAGAGGGCCAAGGCCAGGCCGGTTTCCGGCTCTCAGAGCTCTGGCTGAAGTTTCCAGTGGGCCATGTCCACAGAGCCCTGAAATCCAGGGTGACCGGTCCTGGGCGTGTGGCGGACTGCGGCTGTGGGCAGTGCAGCCACGCAGAGCACCCCCCTGCAGAGGTACGTGAATTGGCAGCAGAGCAATCAAAGGGCTGCAAGGCGGAGCGTATTGCCCCTTGTCGATTGCAGCTTGCTGCCGGTGGAGATGAAGAACTGAACCCTGTCATCAAGGCCACAGCTGCTGATGGCGTCATTCCACACACCCACCACTCCGGGAGGATCGACAGCAGAAGACAGTCCACCCTGGATGCGGGATTTCTCATCATCATTCCAGGACCCTACGGTGCCAACAACTGACCCGTGTCGGTGATCCCAGTGGACTGCATTTCTGTGGAAACACAATTTGCCTACTGGTAATTCTATTTGAGCAAGTTGGAAGTTTCATTGGCTTCCCAACCAACCAAGTTTCTGCACTTACGTGTGGCTTCAGAGAAGCTATTGATTCTGAGGCAGTAGGTTTTGACTGAGTTGACTGTTTTGAAGCAATGGTTGGATTTCAATTGTGATGCTGATGTTATAGTAACAGACATTTGGTTTTGTACACGTCGGTGGATAAGCTCAATAAAGGTCATATTCCCCCACCCCCAACCCCCAAAAAGTCTTCACCTTCTCAGTAGTATACATTCATGAGCATCCTTCCTCTCGATAATGGTTTCCCTGGGAAGTATTTACCGCTCTGTTTCCTTTAGCAGTATGTATCCATCTTGCCTAAGAATCCATTCTGTCCAAAAGGCTGTGTGTCCGTCCTTCTCTCTTTCTCCTCCTGCTGAACACCAGTTTGCACTTGCTATGTACACACTGGGAGATCACCTATGACGGGAATGACCATATCGAACATTAAGCAGACATGGCAACAGTTACCTGTAGGTTTATCATGACTCAGTTTTTGAAAGAACATATAAGCCTTCACGAATTCCCCCTAGAAAGTGCTGACTTCTGAGAAGTATCATTCTGAACGCGTTGCCCTATCGGGGCTCACACTGCCCTTTACACAGATTTCTCCTCCCCTCCCCGAATTTTGGTCATATTCTAATTTTAGTCTCTGTTCTAAAATTATAGTTCTCTGTGTTCTTTTCAAAAGCATCTGCAGCCCAGCCAGTGTGGCTCAGTGGTTGAGCGTTGACCCAGGCACCAAGAGGTCGCCGGTTCGATTCCCAGTGAGGACACATGCCCAGGTTGTGGGCCCGACCCCAGTGGGAGGCATGCAGGAGGAGGCCAGTCGATGTTCTCTCTCATCCATGTTTCTATCTCTGTCTCCCTCTTCTTCCTCTCTCTCTAAAATCAATAAAATAAATAAATAAATAAAAAATAAAATAAAAAAGCATCTGCCCCTTTAGCAAGACCCCCAATGCCCCTTGTGCATGTTTCCCACGGTTGGAGAGTGGTCCTGGGAAGTCACTTTATTAATAGGAAAAAACAGATGCAGCACCAAGGTTTCTCAACTCTCCTTCATTCTGACCTTGGCAACTGCAGCAGCCTATGGCGATGTCAGAGTTAAGGTAGCAAGACCCTCCGTCCCTCCCTCCCTCCTTTCCTTCCTCCCTCCCTTCCTTCCTTTCTTCCTTTCTCTTTCCTTCTCCCCCTTTCTCTGTCCTCCCCTCTCTCCTATTTCCCCTTCTCCTGTCCTCTATTGCAGCGGTTCTCACCCTGTGGGTCGCGACCCCTTTGGGGCTGAACGACCCTTTCACAGGGGTCGCCTAAGACATAACAGTAGCAAAATTACAGTTATGAAGTAGCAACGAAAATAATGTTATGGTTGGGGTTCCCACAACATGAGGAGCTGTGTTAAAGGGTCGCGGCACTAGGAGGGTTGAGACCACTGCTATTGCCTTTCAGTGGTCATTCGGGCAGGTTCAAACTCCTTGCCATGGCCGCAATGCCCTCCTGATCTGTACCCCGCCGTCCTCCTTCCCTTCTCCCTCCCTGTTCCCTCCCTGACAGTGCTCAGGGGCAGCCGTCTCCTGCTCTTTAAACACGCGGCGGCTCGTCACGCCTCGGGTTTCTCTGGTCATTTCTTCTCCAGGGTCTCCGTCTGCACTTTGTCCCGCGGAGGCCTCCTTTCCCCGATTTCGATCTCTTGAAATGCCCCCCCCACCCCACCCCCGAGACGCCGTCTGCGGGCTGTCACCCCCCCCCCCCCCCCCCCCCCCCCCCCCGCGCTCTTCCTCCCCCCGCGTCCCGCCCATCACATACCTCGTCCAGCTACCTAGGTCTGGGATGATTATGTCTCTTCTTTGTCTTTTCCCGTTGTGACAATGGACATCTTCGGTGGCAGAGCCTTCTTGTGTCCCTGAAGGCCAACAGTTCCTGGCACATGACAGGGACTTAATAAATATTTTTTACTACCTGAGTTTTTACTGGGCACTGAAGTATGAATGGTGGTCCGTGAGCAAGTAAGTAGAAAATGTAATATCTCTTGCCTGGAGGAAACTGGTGAATAAGATTTAAGAGTCCTATTATAATTGTTTTTCCTAGATTCAGCAAGAGTAGGTCAGGGGAAAAAATTGAGGAGGACTATGATACCAAATTGCTTTGTAATAATTATACTGTCCTATTCAACTGATCTCTTCTATTAATCACACTTCGTGGTCAAGTTTTGGGGAAGCCTATTGAAATGCAAGTGAGAGAGACTGAAATGCTAACCTACCCGTGTAGCTGATGGAAACCCAGGTGGTTGACTATCTGCATAATGGTTTTCAAAAAGGTTAAGCGGAGGAGCTTTTTCTAACCGACCGCCGTCCCAGCAGCCCAGTGCACACAGCGCGGAGTGGCTGCCACTCTAGCTGGTGTGGCAGGACTTGCAATCTGCCCCTGGCTCCTCTCCTCATTTCTGTCCCTCCAGGCAGCACCTGAAATATCACCTGTGGCACCCAGGTCTGCACATGGCAAGGTTTGACAGTCACAGAGCTTAGGCTAACCCTTGTATTTGGGAAACTGAGGCTCAGAGAGCTGGAGTGACTTCTTCAAAGTTATCAAATCCCTGGCTGCCAAAGGACTGGAGCCCAGCTCCCCGAATCACCAGTGTCATCCTCTGTTCCTGAAAGACACATTCTACTGAATGAGATTTGCTCCTCGCAGTGGGGTTAGCCACGGGGAGAGGAGAGTCAGAGGTTTCCAGTGCCCGGGGCCTTGCTCGGGGTGCTGCCGCCCCTGCAGCACCGGAGCCCCCAAGACTGCCTACTTGGAAATCATCTTGAACTTGTACTTAATGGTAGAAGTGAGGAAATGAGACTTCTTTCTCCAATATTTATTTCATGACTGTATTGCTCTGAATTTTTATGAATTGTAGAGGACTTTTAACCACTAGGTGTCTTCACTTCCCATTTGTAAAGAGTCGCAGGACCCTGATCAGGAAGAGAAGGTCCTTTATGTGAGTACTGTTATTTGTAAGTGGGAGCACAAATTAGAAATAACTAATTTGGTTGCATTGGTGGTTCATGGATCAGCCATAATACAGACTGTCTCATGTGAATTGGGAGTTCAGAGCCAACCCAGCATTTGGTTAGAAAACAATTAATGCATGCTTTTAACTCAGTGAATAAATTTCACACTTATGTATTACTTAGCAAACAGTTGAATAATATATTAATTTGATTTCTGACTACAGATTGAGGCAGGTGGGTGTACATGACTTGTGCCGTTTTTACACCTGATCTTAGCCAAAAGGCCGAGAAGCGGTGACTTGTGCTGTTTGTAATGGTCATATCCCAGGCATCAATGATGCCCACATTGGGATCCTGAAAATGTCCTTTATGACAAGATATTAAATGTAACCACGAAAGTCACCAACTCTCTCCACATCTCTGTGTGTCTCCTGATGTTTTCCACTCTGATGATAAGCACAGTGTCTGGACTTCTCAGAAGACGCTAAGTAACTGTCTGGACATTGAGAGCCCCTCAGATAAAAACACCTATAGGAAAGGCTCTGAAATGCTGGCCCAGAGAATTAACAATGATGGTATTTTTTTCCTCCTCCACTTCTGTCAATGACCTCAGCAATGCACTCAATCTTTCTGACCGAATAGGTCGCTGATCCAATCAATGGTAACCGTGTTGGCCACTGGATGGTGACACTCTTATCCAAGATCATAACGGTTGGTGTTGAAATTTTCCATATTTATGCAAATCTACTGTCTTCAAGGCTGGTGACAAACGGGTAATCCCAAAATGGGAAGAGAATAAAGTTATAAAGATCGTAAAGACAGAAGAAAAGATTTGCTGTTTGTAATTGAGTCAGTTAATCATGGCTGATTTATCACAGGTTTAAATGAAGGAACAGTTTTGAAAAGTATTTGAACAATCAAAAGTGTTATACAAATAAGGGATCACACGTGCGCCTTGTTAAAACCATGAGGAACCAAATGGACTGGGGTTGGTATCGCGGGAGGCTGCTGTGTCAGTTTTGTAGGTGTTGTTTCTGTACATTTTGTTAACTGTAAACTCCTTTGAGGCTAGAGAAGGCACTAATTGATGTCTTTACATTTTACAAAACAAGTAAACTGTTTTCCCCAAATATTCTGTAATTTTTTTTTTTTTATCCTCACCCGAGGACATTTTTCCATTTTTTGCACAGAGAGAGTGGGAGGGAGAGAGAGGAAGAGAGAGAGAGAGGGAAACATCGATGTGAAAGGGACACATCGAGTGGCTGCCACCCGCACAACAAACCAGGGCCGGGGACAAACTGCAACCGAGGTACATGCCCTTAGCGGGAATCGAACCCAGGTCTCTCCGGACCGCAGGTGGATGCTCTAACCGCTGAGCCAAACCGGCCAGGGCTGTAATTTTTTAAAAAATTTGTTTTTATTGATTTTTTAGAGAGGAAGGGAAAGAGAGAGAAACATGGATGTGAGCGTCATCAGTGGGCTGCCTCCTGCACGCCCCCTACTGGGGATTGAGCCTGCAACCCAGGCATGTGCCCAGACTAGGAATTGAGACTGGGCCTCTCAGTCCATGGGAAATACTCAATCTCTACTGGCCAGGCTCTGCAAAAAAATGTTTAAATTAATTTATTTTTGCTGCAGATGTTTTTCCTCTTTCCTCCCTAGACACCCACCTCCGATCCCACCCCACCCCTCACAGCATTGTTGTCTATGTTCACAGGTTATGCACACATGCATATAAGTTCTTTGGTTTATCTCCCCCCCAGCCCCACCGCCCCTGCCTCTGAGGGTTGTCATTCTGAACCCTTCTCCTTTCTATGCCTCTGGGTCTATTGTGTTCATCAGTTTATTTTGCTCTGCAAATTTTTTAAAGACTGGAATTATACTCTATACTTCTGTGTTTCCTATACATGGGATGGTACTGAGTACATCATCTACAATAATAGTTTTGCTATTCATTTGTGAAGAACTTTCCAGTTTATGAAGCATTTATTTGGACTGATATATTTATTCACCTCAAAGCATGTGTGCTCTCTCCTCCCTACTCACACACACACACACACACACACACTTAATTGCTGTTATAAAAAGTAAATCAAGAGATAACATGACCTGCTCAATATTACACAGCTAGTGACAGAATTTACACTTAAATTTGAAGTTCTTCCCAATTCTCGTGAAAAGAGTCTACCCAATCTTAACACTTCTGAATACATGAGTGTAATAGGAATAGAATACAACAAAGTCCTTTCGCTTTTTCATTGCTAACTAGGCCCTTATCAGACTATCTAAGGAAAATGTGTATAAAATGTGTATAAAAGAATTATTAATGCTTTGTAACATGACACTGAGGGACACAATGGCTTTGTAACTTGCCCAAGGTCACCCAGATTGGACATGGAGAAGCCAGATTTTTTGTTGTTGTTGCCAATCCTTACCCAAGGATATTTTTTCATTGATTTTTAGATAGAGTGGAAAGGATGGAGGGAGAAAGAGAGAGACATCTGTGTGAGAGAGAGATATCAATTGATTGCCTCCCGCACAACCCTGACTGGAGTTGGGGATTGAATGTGCAACCCAGGTATGTGCCTTTGACTGGGACTCGAACCCACAACCCTTCAGTCCGTGGGCCGATGCTCTAACTGTTGAACAAAACAGGCCCGGGCAGGAAGCCAGATTTTTATTCCAGGCCATGTGTATCTAGAATCTACACTCTTAATCATTATGCCAACTGTAGAAAGTGGACAATGTAATATCTTAAGTTATCCTCAGCTCCATCCATGATTTTCTGAACATGCTGGGTAAATACTGGTGTGAGTTCTTCAGATACAAGGATGTAATACACTTTTCAACACTAGTTCCTTTCCATTCAGATAAATGTGTTATTTTAAAGGAAAGATAACAAAATCTTGCAAAAAAGTGTTGTTGTATTAGATTAAGAAGTACAAAAAAGAAGAGGTATTTTCCATATTACTTTTTTCCTTAAAATGAAAAAGAGGTTTCTAAAAGGGATATGAATAATGGCTTAGATTTAGGCACACTGTTAATATTGTCTTTGAAGTGTTCCATCCACTGGCAGATTGTGGGCTCTCCCATTAGATATATGAGTTTTCCTCGCTGGCATTCGTTCATTTCAGTTGGAGCCAAACTACAGGAGACAGGAGTTCATGTGTCTTTCCAGACATGTCCACTGGGGATTGTGGATGCCATTCTAAACTTGCATTTCTTTTTCATTGGAATTGTATTTTCTGCCAAACAATCTGCAAGATAGGACCTTCTAAAATATATTGTCCATCAATATTTATTAAGAACCTACTATCTTTCCAAGTATTCTCTTAATAGGGCACGAGGGGGTGGAAAAGCCTTATAGAGCATCATCTTCTTAATGAAGGAGTTATTTTTCAAAAACATTTTCTCTGATATGAATTTTCTAAATGATGCACATTAATGTTCATTGTAGAAGACATGTTTTCTCCCAATAACAGGCCTTCTGGGTAAAATTTAAGTGTTTGTTTGCCTTCTTATGAAAACAAAGCCATCAATTCTTGCTTAGTAATGCAACTCAATTATTATATAATTTAACCCACTTTACTCCCATGTTGGTCATATTCTACCACAGTGTCTTAAATGCCACCATCAAACTATAAATACTTTGAGATAAATGTAAGGTGCGATAAAAAAATTTAAAAATGGTTTGGTTTGGGACCTGGACTGTCCATATGGATATGGTTGTGGGCTGGAGCAGTCCTGGAGGTCCAAGATGGGCCAGGCATTAACCTATTAGTCACTGTGAAGAGTCTGGGAATTTGAGGGGCTGAGTTTGCTAGGATGGTGAGGAGGCTTGGTAGGCCTGGTGAGATGATTATATACCAACTAGAGGAAGTAGTTTAATATTTTAACATCTGGTATGGTTGTACTTGTGTATCCTGGGTGGAAATGCCATTTCTACCTCTAGGTTCATATTTACACTCTAGTGTGAATGAGTTTATTAGTGATTAGGAAGCTATTAATGCTGAACTTGCAGAGATATAAAAGCTTCTGCCTTAAATAATTTTATTTAGGGATTTCCTAGGATGTTTGGAGCCAAACATATTGAAGGAAAATTAAGAAATATAAGTATGGAAGTGCTATTGTGTATGTTAAAATGGTCGGAAAGGTGACAAAGACCAAGAAAGGGAAATTGTAATAAAATGACTCCTAGACGGCAGGTTGGAAACCTCTAGATGATGAATCTTGTGATGTGGGAAGTGCTGGTGTGATGGTGTGAAGAGGTAAAAAGAAATACAGAAGTTAATCTGCAGGTGGACCCAAAGGTCAGGAAACGGGGTCCAGGATGTCAATTGCATAACCAGATGTGAACTCACCCCCTCCCATGAGCATACTGAAATGTACACCTATACGGAGAGCAGTTAGTCCTGAGAGATAGCAGAGGGCTGAATAAACAACAAACGAGAGAAAGAGGCCGTATAGAGAAGGCTGGGAACCATGGGAGCTTTCAGGAAGCTGTGACAACTCTGAGATCGGAGGTGCTAGTGAGTGCCATTGTTTATGCTCCCCTCCACCTCAATAGGGCAGGTGGAAATTCTGTTCAGGTCACCTTCCAGGTCACCACAGTGTGTTCCCAGCCACACTGCTTAGAGCCCATTTTGGCTGTGAACAAAGGACGCAAATAGGATCAACAGGTTGTCACCATGTGCTACTGGCCAGTGCCCCAGGTACCATAAGCATCCACCCAGTTCCAAATGGCCTACCCAAATATACATAGACTACACAGATGTTATTTCTAGGCAAGACTACTTTCTGTACAACAAGTAAAAGAAAGACTGTATAGAGACGGCTTTGAGCCGCAGGAGCGCTCTGGGAACTGGAGGAATTCTCCAGGGTTAGAAGTGCTGGTGATCACCATTGTTTCTGGGCCCCTCCACCTTATAAGAGCAGGTGGGAGCTCTATCTAGGTGCTCTGGTCTAGCTACAAGGTCACCACAGAGTGTTCCCAGGACAAATCAACTGAGTCCATATTGGCTCTGAACAAAGTGAGCAAAGAGGATCAACAGGGTATTACTACAAGCACATGGCCTCCTTGCCCAGAGCTGCACCAACTCAGTAAACTAGTGCCCAAGACACCATAGGCACCTGCTCAGCTCCAACCGGCCTGCCAAACCACCTGGCACATAGAGGTACTTCTACACAAGGCTGCTTTTTCGAGACTAGGAGATATAGCTATTTTGTCTAATGAATATAAACCAATATAAAAAAATTAAACCAAAGGAAAGGACAGAATAATATCTCTCAAATAAAGGAACAAGAAAGGTCTCCTGGGGAAAAAAAAAACCCTAAGAAAATGGAGATAAGTTATTTGCTGATAAGAATTCAAACAGATAATCATAATGACACCAAATTTAAGAGGTCACCAAATTTAAGAGGTCAATAGAGGAACTTAGGGAGCATTTCAGCAAAGAGTTAAAAAGTATAATTAAGAACGAAGCACAGCTGAAGAATACAGTAACTAAAACAAAAAATACATTAAAAAGAGATGAGAACAGATTTGCTAATACAAAAGAATGGGTAAGCGATCTAGAAGACAGAGTAGTGTAAATAAACCATTCAGACAGCAAAAAGAAAAGAATGAACAAAACCCTATGACAGTTGAAGGGACCTCTAGGACAACATCAAGCATACGAATATTCACAATATAGTTATTCCAGAAGTAGAAGAAAGAGAAAAAAAGAACAGAAACTTTATTTGAAGAAATAACCTGGAAAAAGAAACAGAAATCGAGGTCTAAGGAAAAACAGACTTCCAAACAAGATCTATACCAACATGTACTGTAATTAAAATGGCAAAAGTTAGCCCTGGCCGGTTTGGCTCAGCAGTTAGAGCATCGGCCTGCGGTCCGGAGGGACCCGGGTTCGGTTCCCGCTAAGGGCACGTACCTCGGTTGCAGTTTGTCCCCGGCCCTGGTTGGTTGTGCAGGTGGCAACCACTCGATGTGTCCCTTTCACATCAATGTTTCTCTCTCTCTCTCTTCCTCTCTCTCCCTCCCGCTCTATCTGAACAATAAATGGAAAAATGTCCTCGGGTAAGGATGATAAAAAAAAAAAAGGCAAAAGTTAAAGATAAAGAGACAATTTTGAAGGCATTTTGAAGGCAGCGAGAATAAAACAGTTAATTACATACAAAGGAAACCCCATATGGCTATCAGCTGACTTTCAGCAGCAACTTCATAAGCCAAAAGGGAGTGGCAGGACATCTTTAAAGTATGAACCAACAACCTAGAATAATTCACTCAGCAAGGTAACTATTCAAAATTGAAAGGGAGATAAAAAGTTTCCTAGACAAAAAACAAAACAACACAAAACAAAAACTATAGTTTATTATCCTTAAATGAGCATTTCAAGAAATATTAAAGAATCTTCTTTAAGCAGAAAAATAAAGGCCATCACCAGAAATAAGAAAATGAGAAAAGAAAAAATTTCACAGGTAAAGTCAAATATTGAATAAATACAGTAAATTGGACATTTAAAAAGCTACTACAAAGGTCAAAAGATAAAAGTATCAAACTCAACTCAAAGTACAATGAGTAGTTAGGAGATATACAAACTAAAAGATTTAAAATATGACATCAAAAACATGAAGAATAGAAGGGGAGTAAAAATATAGTCCATTTAGAGTATATTTGAATTTAAATGCCTATCAGCTTAAAACACACTGCTATGGATATAGAATGATATACATAAACCTTATGGTAACCACAAACCAAAAACTTATAAAAGTACACACAGAATAAAGAGAAAGGAACCTAAACAAAACACAAAAGAACACCAACTAACCACCAAGGAAACGATCAAGAGAAGAAGAAAGGAAGAGAGAACTACAGAAACAACCAAAACACAGTGAACAAAATGGCAGTAAGTACATACTTATCATTAATTACTTTAAATGTAAATGAACTAAATACTCCAATAAAAAGAAATAGGATGGCTGAATGGATTAAAACACTACTCATCTAGGTGGATTCCAAAATGGCGGTGGAGTGAATGGAAGTTACACAGACCATCTCCCAGGACCAAACTGGAATTACAATGAAATTAAAGACAAATAGTTGGGAAAAAGCAACAGAAAAGCAGCTTGGAGAACCACATAATTAGGGACACTGACTCAATCCTGGTAGGCTTCCGGAGACATGAGAGGGAGGCTGGAAGCCCACGGTCGGCAGTGGCCTTAGCTGTGAGCAGTCGCCTTAACTGTGACCAGCGCCCTTGGTTACACTCCCAAGCAGCTCCACAGTGCAAAGCCGGGACAGAGGCTAAAATAGCCACAGCTACGCACCTTGGGCTCCAGCAGAGGGAGGGCAGACTGGACTGGAACTGTGTGGGAACACGGGATTAGGAGGACGCTCAGAGCTTTTGCTGAGTGGAGGCCACGCAAGACGGTGGTCATCTTATTCCTTCCCAGGGCTCTGGGGAGAGGCAGCAGCCCCTTCCTCAGAGATTCAACCCCACCCGGTGGCCATTGAAATGCAAACTGAGGCCATTAACAACAAGCATCTGTCCCACCCCCAGGAAATCCCCTTATGCTGAGCACCTGAGGGAGTTTTTCATTCAACTGAGAAGCCAAGGTTCTTCAGTTAACTGCTACTGATAGCCTCCAGGCAAGAAGCTAGAGGATAACTGTACCATCCCTGGGCTAGCAACTCTAACCAGGAAAGTAAGACTTGACAGTGATGTTTAACCTGGGTCCTCCCTGGCTCATCCAAACCCAGGAGAGGGAGCCACAAACAACAGAACACCAACACCCACAGGGGAAATTTGGAAGGCTCCAAAGCCCACTGTGATAGCCAAAATAGTGAAACAAAGAAACAAATCCCAAATGAAAGAACAAGAGACCTCTACCGAAGATGAGATAAACGAGGTACAGTTAAGCAAGTTAACAGAACTAGAATTCAGAGCCATGATCTTGAGGAAGCTCAACAGCATGTGTAAGGACATGAGCACCATGAATAAAGACATAGAAATGTTGAAAATTAACCAGTAGGAAATTAAAAACCACCAAGAAAAAATGAAGAATGACATAGTAGAAATAAAGAACATATTGGAAGGTCTAAATAGCAGAGTAGAAGAAGCTGAGCACAGGATTAGTGAATTAGAAGATAGGGTAGAAAAAAATCAACCAATCAGAAAACCAAAAGGAGAAAACAATTAAAAAACAGAAAGACAGCTTAAGAGAACTGGAAATATAATAATATGCACATCATAGGAGT